CTCGACTACCCCAACTCCCTGCTTGTTGGCCTCCCCAACTCTTCTCTCCACAGGCTGCAGATCATCCACAATTCTGCAGCTCGTACCCTCTCCCGCACCAGACCCCGTGACCCCATCATCCCCACCCTCACCCGGCTCCACTGGCTCCCCATCCCCGAGAGGATAGAGTTCAAACTCCTCGCCCTCACCTTCAAGGCCCTCCATGGCCTTGTCCTACCACTGTGACCTGTTAACCCCTTATCAACCTGTCTGCTCGCTCCGCTCAGCAGGTTCCATGTCCCCCGCCCGGGCTGGGCTTCAACCTCCCTAATCCCAACCCCCCCCCTCCCCCTCATCCCCACCACCCCACTCGGGTCCTAATCTCTGACTGTCAGCATTTTGGGATGTCCTCCTGACGTGTGTAAATGTAATTTTGTATTGTTGTTGTATTTATACAGAAAAGCCAACTCTCTGTGTAGTCATTTTTAATCCGAATAAAAGCCTATCCAAAGGAACAATTTTATATGCAAATTAAATAACTTGGAAAAAAGCAGAAATGGTAATGCCAGTTTAATTTCTGTCATAACAAACAAAATACTTTAACAAGTTACAAGTAGTTTTGAGTATCAACGCTTTGATTTAGATTTTTAGATGTCACAGGTAATAAGGGTAATGTAAATTTCAATAATAGCCTGTTGTATTTGCGAGAGTGAGAGAGAGAGAGAGAGAGAGAGACTTCTTCCTCTAGTAGGGGAATTCAGAACAAGAGGACATACATGATCTTTTGATCAGAGTGCTCACCTCGCAAGCGAAGTAAGGAGGAAACCCATTGGGCTCGAAGGGCCGAATGGTCTACTCCTGCTCCTACATGTTACGTTATTGTTATTCGATTGGTGGATCACTTTCCCGGGGGGTCATAATTCCTCCCCCCAAAAAAAATTATAAAAATTATAATTTGGTCACTGAATTCATGACTATTTGTGGGACGCTGCTGTGCGCAATTGGCTGCCGTGTTTCGTCCACAAAATATCCATTCGATTCACTTTGCAGCATATTCTGTGAAGCCCTTTCAGGCATCTCAACGACGTGATGAAGGATTATGATTCTTATCATTATATGTTAAATTTAAAAGTGAAATCCAAAAACATTTTTTTAATCAACCACAAAAGGGCTGCGCAAATGTAGAATTCAATTGATTTTAAAGTAAATATATCATTTATTATATACCAAATGCAAGGTTTATTATTATAATTCATTATAAACGACTGTAAATACAGGGTCAGAAAAAATATTTAAGAGAGAGAGACATGAGAACATGTTGTGCGCTCAAGGGGGATGATAGAGCGCAGAGAAATGGGGTTAAGTTGCAGATTAGCAGTCAATCCTATGAAAGGACAGCAATTGCCTCAATGGGTTAAATGGTCGCCCCATTTCTTTTTTCCTCTGTGTCTATCTATCTGTCCTGACTGTCTGTCTGCTCATGTACTGGATGATTTAAAAAACATGTATACCTTGAAGGAAGTAGAATCCTGTGCACAATTGGCTGCCTTGTTTACCCACAAAATATACAGTCAATTCCCTTCACAATATATTCTGCGAAGCGCTTTGAGACGTCTCTAAGACATGATAAGGCGCTGCATCAAATGCAAGGATTAGTATTATTATTAAACGTTGGAAAAGACACATCTGATTGTAACTCCTGTGCAGGTTACACTCCAGTCAGACCATTCCGATTTAAATATCCCATGACCAATCTAAAGTTAGATGCCGAAGGGATTTTCACCGAGTGGGAATCTTACACTCTCTTCCTAAGATTTTACAACAGATTATAAAGGCTAAATAAAGGTTTCTCATTTGGGCTGAGGGTAAAATAATGGATTATTAGTCTCTTTCTCCTGGGAGGTTGTAACATGTTCACCCGGGAGGATGGTTAGCTGACCCTGCGATTGTGAGGACAATGGGAAGTGTGGAGGGATGAGTTTAAATGACCCAACGGGCCTTCTTCATACAAACCAACCCTGTGCTTCCCGCCTCAGTAGGTTTTAATGGGAGGTTTAAAAGCATCGCAGGTCCCACATCTCTGGGAACATCAATTAAGCTGTGTCTCTGTCCGCTCAGTGGCTACTGTCCTGCTCCATGTCCCCCAGTCTGCCCTCTCCACTATCATCAGCCGGGCCTTCAGCCTCTCCGCCCCCACCCTCTGGAACTCAATCCCGGAGCCCCTCTGCCTCAACCCCCCACCTCACCTCACCTCCTTCAAGGCCCGTCTCAAGACCCTCCTCTTCGACCTCACCTCCTCCTTCACCCCTCCCCCACCTTGCCCTCCTCCCCTTCGCTAATCACAAATCCCAGCTCGGTTGCAAACCCCTCATTTTCCAGCACCTTGAGATGTCCTCACGACGTGAAAGGCGATGTGTAAATGCGGTTTGCTGTTGTTGTTGTTTTGACAGCTAGACTATTACAAACATTGGGTGATGGATTCAGCCCCGTTTAAATAAACACACAACTGGAGTTAGTGTCTGGTCATAAAAGAGTCTGTGCCTAACCTCAGAAACACGGACTGTCACTGGATATTGTGAAGTGACTCGATCTCGCAAAACAGGATCCACTTCCTCTCACTATTAAAGGATTACAACATGTGTATCTGTACACCCACACAGCTAAATTGCAAACAAATCCCCATTTTATTTCTTAAACAAATTCAAATTCAAGATCCTCATCCTCACCTACAAGGCCATTCACGGCCTCGCTCCCTCCTACCTCTCTGACCTACTATCCCCCTACCTATCTGCCCGTACCCTCCGTTCCTCTGGCTCTGGTCTGCTCCACATCCCCCGCCCCAACCGCCCTACCATCGGTGGTCGGGCCTTCAGCCTCTCAGCCCCGAGGCTCTGGAACTCCATCCCCAGTGCCTTCGCCGCTTCCTCCCTTTCCTCCTTCAAAGCCGGTCTCAAGACCTTTCTCTTTGACCTTCAGCCTTCAGCTCCCCTCTCGACTCTCTACCCCCTCCTCGCTCCCTCCCTTCCCTCCCCTCACCCTGACCATTTCCCCCCTCCTCGCTCCCTCCCTTCCCTCCCCTCACCCTGACCATTTCCCCCCTCCTCGCTCCCTCCCTTCCCTCCCCTCACCCTGACCATTTCCCCCCAATGCTCGGGTCCTGACCCAACTGTACAGCGCCTTGGGACGTCCTCCCGACGTGAAAGGCGCTCAATAAATGGAATCTTGTTGTTGTTGTTGTTAAACGCAACGATGATGGATTTCTGCATGTGTCAGACACCCCTGGCTGACTGGAAAAAAATGAAAACTGATATACAGTATAATTATATTTTTAAAACCTTACCAGAAGTTTGACAATCGGATTACAAATTATTCAGGTAAAAGTAATTAGTATGGAACTTTTGCACCGTTGTCCATCTGTTTCCCCGAGAACACTACTATATCAAATATAAATATAAATATCATACATAAAAATATCTTAAATACAGATATGTTTCGCCCACAAAATATACAGTCAATTCACTTTACAGTATATTTTGTGAAGTGCTTTGAGTTGTCTCAACGACATGATAATATCAAATGTAAGGATTATTAGTATTATTGTTATCACTTTCAATATGGCATTATATCAAATCCAATTATTATTATTATTATTATTATTATTATTATCACTATTTCACTTACATTGCCCGTAAAATGCACAGTCACTCCACTTTACCATATATCTGTTGAAGCGCTTGGAGACGTCTCACCGACATAATAAGGTGCCCCGTTAAATGCAAGGATTATTATTATCATCATAATAATCCCCATTTTATTTCTTAAGTGCAGTGATGATGGGTTTCTGCGTGTGTCAGACACCCCAGTTAAATAGCTCCTGGTCACTTCTAAACTTATGGTGGACACGTGCGTCCTGAAATTAAATTGTTACAATAATTCCCTTCACCTCAAGTGGAGTTACAATTAAAATCGATAATTGCATCAAAACTGTTGCAAAACAGAATCCCATCTTTCCTCCCTGACCATTGATTTAAGACTCCATGTCAATAATACTTATTCATAGAATTATACAGCACAGAAGGAGGCTCATCGTGTCTGCGCTGGCTCTTTTCAATCCCACTCCCCACGCTCTCCCCCATAGCCCTGCAAACTTGTCCTCCCCAAATAATTTTCTATGGAGTCAATTAATTGTGGAGTCCTGTAGCTCAGTGGTTAGAGCGCTCGCTTTATAAGCGAGAGATCTGGGTTTGATTCCAGGCAGGGCGAACGCTTGGGCAAGTTGTCTTACTCCACACACCTAATAATAATAATCCCTCAAGAAAAAAATAATAAATTGGTCATTTCAATCCACGACTGTTTGTGGGTCACTGCTGTGTGCAATTGGCTGCCGCTTTTTGACCACAAATATACAGTCAATTCACTTTACAGTCTACTACGTGAAGTGCTTTGAGACGTCTCGAAGAGGTGAAAAGCGCTATATCAAAGGAAGGATTATTATTATTATTATTATTATCTGCTTCTCTCTTAGAAGTTGTTACGAGATAATAATCCACATTTTTTTTAATTTAAATTTAAATTTCCACCCTTTGCAAAATGAGCCGAAGAAGAAAGGAAGCAACAACTGAAATGGATGTGACATGAAATTGACAAATTACGTTTTCTTTCTGGGGAGAGAGAGAGAGAGAGGGAGGATGGAGATAATAATAATAATAATCCTTTCGTTTGAAATAAGGCCTTATCACTTCTTTGAGACGTCTCAAAGCCCTTCACAGAATAAACTGTAAATCGAATTGACGTATATTTTGAGACACCTCATTGACCCAATGGGCGAAATGCAGCAGCCAATTTCACACAGTAGTGTCCCACAAACCAGCCATGGATTACGTGACTAAATTTTTTTTGATTTATTCTGAAGGAATTATCATCCCCAGGGAAAAGCGATCCGGGGTATGAGAGAGAGAGGGTTTGTGTGTGTGTGTGTGAGGTGAAACGAGACTTGAGACATCTCTACAACAAACACTTACCAGTTTCCATCGTGTCAGCGAGGGGATTCGAGTCTTTCAAAGGCCGAATTGAGACAAACAATTAGTTGTTTTTTTCTGCGCGCTGTCAAGATTCTCCAGCTATCATCGATAAAGTGAGATCATGATAACCTGGCAAAGCACACTTTGTGTCTGCAGAACCTTATTTCTCATTTATACCTATGTAATGTGCTGATACTTTGGCCCTTTCCGAATTTGTTTAAATGCAAATAATCAGGAGCAGTTTATTTTGGGAAATTTGCATTCATCTCATAGATGTTTTGAAGGTCTTCAAACGCACAATTAGTGTTTGGGATTTTCATTCCAAGTAACAACCCCCTCCTCCCAATTAAACTTTTTTGGCCCCATCTCTAGGTCTGCTATAAACAGCTTAGCTTAAGTGTAATGTAGGTTAGTGGCCCACACAGTAGTTTGTCAAGTAATTGCTTAAAAAAATGTTTATTTTTGTTTGCTGTTTGTTACCTTTTTTTTTGCCCAGCCGTGTGTCTGACACGTGTGGAAATCCATCACCATTGCGTAAGAGTCTCCAAACCAAGCTGAGAATTCCATGCATCCCACCAACACATGGAAATTCCAGAGATGTTTTGTTGAAATGGAATGGAACGTGTTCTCTCTCTCTCTTTCTCTCTCTCTCTCTCTCACTGGAGGGACACAACCTCAGAGGGCAACAACAACAAAAACAACAACAACTTGCATTTATACCCGCGCCCTTTCACGAGGATCGCTTAAAAAAATACAGTCAATTCAATTTACAGAGTATTCTGCGAAGCGCTTTGAGACAGCTCAAAGACATGTTGAGGCGCTGTCTCAAATGCGAGGATTATCATTATAAATTATTATGAAGGATGTATTATTTCAATGGAAACCACTAACAATCTATAATTAACACAGATATTTTCTCATGCACCGACTGCTGTATGCCAATGAGATGCCCTGTAAGCTTCAAACTGTAAAAACTGTGACTGTAAACACACCAGTGGAAACGTTAAGGTAATTTTGACTGGGTGGTGAGAAACCATAATTTATAAAGAACCTCTACGTTGATACTCTATTTATGTCACCTGAAATTTATTACCCCCAAACAATTAAATGCAAGAGTTCGAGGGACTGCAATGGTTGATGGATGTTGGCTGATCATAAATTTTTCATTTTATTAAACCATGGGATACGTTTCTAAAAGCGCACGATTGGTCTATTTAAATCCATCCCTTAATTCCTTTTTAAAGGAAACAAAGCAAGAACATCGTCAAGTGTCCGAGGGCAATAATTCAAGATATTTGGGATTCTTTGAATGATTCAGAATGGTTTAAAGTCTGCATTCTGTACATTTCTGGAGTCCTGTAGCTCAAGTGAGAGGACCCGGGTTCGATTCCCAGGCGGGCAAAACCTTAGGCAAGTTTCCTTACTCCTCAAGCCTCTGTTATCATATTATTATTCTATTTACCTAGCAGTAAGTAGGAACCCGATTATCAGTCAATTGGTGGATCGCTTTCCCGGGGTAATAAACCCTCAAAGAAAAATTGGTCACTCAATCCACGACTGTTTGTGGGACGTTACTGTGCGCAATTGACTGCCGCGTTTCGCCCACAAAATACACAGTCAATTCACTTGGCAATGTATTCTACAAAGCGCTTTGAGACGTCTCAACGATATGATAAGTCGCTCCATCAAATGCAAGGATTATTATTATCATTATTCTGTTGGAATAACTGATAAGGCAGGGCATTAAGGGGCTACAGTTGTTTTTGCTAGCGTTTTAAGGTTTCTGTTGGTTGTACGAATGAAATGAGATTCAAGGAAAAAAACTCAGCCTCTGAAAGTGTAACCACATATAATACTTCACAACAATTCTCTTGTTCCTGTTCTTACAAACTTATTTGCATGGTGCGATTTTTTTCCCTCTCTCTCAAGATAGAATATCTAAGGTCGCTGTGTTGTCTACCTATCTCAAAACATAGGAACATAGGAACTGGAGTGGGCCATTCAGCCTCTTGAGCCTGTTCCACCCTGGCTGATCTGTACCTCAACTCCAATTACCCACCTTTAATAATAATAATAATCCTTGCATTTGATACAGCGCCTTATCATGTCTTCGAGACGTCTCAAAGCGCTTCACAGAATATACGTGAAGTGAATTGACGGTATATTTTGTGGGCAAAATGGGTCTTTGCCCCATATGCCTTGTTACCCTTACCTAACAAAAACCTACCCCCCTCAGTCTTGAAAATTTGAATCTGTGGGTTGAATGCTTGAAGGAAACATTGAAATACATCGCTTCCTACTCACTAGCCTTTGCCACTGTGACTCGAACTTTTTCTCTCACTTGTGGTGCAAGAGAATGTGACCAAAGAATGAGCGATCTGAGGGCCCCAAATTCCTCGTAGTCGTAGCCCTCAGTGTTATGCGCGGATTCATAGATTCTTAGAATCCCACAGCATAGGAGGCCATTTGGTCCATTGCCCACAAAATATACAGTCAATTCACTTTACAGGAAATTCTGTGAAGGGCTTTGAGATAGTCATAAGCCGCTATATCAAATGCAACAATTATTATTATTTTCGTGCCTGTGCCAGCTCTTTGAAAGAGTTATCCAACTCATCCCACTCCCTCACCCTTTCCCCATGGCCTTGCAACTTTTTTCTTTTCAAGTACCTATTCAATTCCCACCAAGTCCGCTTGCAATGTATGCTTGCAGCAAATCCTGTGGAGCGTATTGAGATGTCCTCCTGAGATGACAGGTACTATAACAAACACAAGAATTATTCAAATCATAGCCTTTCATTGCCAGGCTGTTCTGAATTTCAGAAAATTCTTAAATCCAGTTTGGGAGCTAATTTGGAAGCTTGACTGATCTGGAGGGAGATTGTTATCCAGGTGGCGGGTGGAAAGTAAGAGGGGTTCTCCTTGGAGCTGAACTGGCTCCTGAGTGTGCTGCCTGGCAGCGGGTTCTCAGAATCAAGCCAGCCCTCTGTGGCGGTCTCGGTAGTCCAGGACACTGCTGATGACAGCACAGCCCACCCTGGCACATTGGAAGGGCACGCCAGTCAATGGGAGCAGGGAATCCTCCCAGTCAGCTCCTGTAAACCCTCCAAGCCAAAGCCTCAACAGGTCAGGCGGTCCAAGGCCAGATTAGAGTCTAGAGTCTGTCAGACATAGGGATCGAACCCTCAACTTTCTGACCCAGAGGTCAGGGACAGGGCCAATTGCTATCTGAAACCTACTCTGTGCTTACCTAAAACTGGGTTGGGACGTATTGATATATTATGCAAATCTGGTGGTAACATCCTAATGATTGAGCAGACAGTAACCTCCTGAGTTTTATTAGGAACCGTCACTGATTAGCACCAGAACACAAAACACTTCTTTGTGTTTGTTGCTTACAAAGTGCCCTTTAAACCCGGGATATATTTAAACGGACATTTCATTTCTCTCTCGCTTCATGCTTTTCACCTCCCTGTCCCTTTCTTTCTTTTTATGTATACAGTCACTACACTTTACACGTATATGTTGCGAAATGCTTTGAGACATCTCGACGCATGAAAAAACGCTATATTGAATGCAAGGATTATTGTTACATACATAACAACAAATTGCATTCAATAGCGCCTTTCACATTTAGGATGACGTCCATATATTGTTACTCCCTTTTCCCATTATTTTCCTCTGTCAAATAATCTCTGGCCCTGATCACAGAGTCACCCTTCTTATGTTTGTCCCTGTTTATTAATATTTTTTATAATTAAGAGTGCGTCAGCTTAGCTCAGTAGTGGTAGCAATCTTGCCTTTGAGTCAGAAGGTTGTGGGTTCAAATCCTGCATCGGGACTTGAACAACAACAATAACAACAACAACAATCCTTGCATTTGATATAGCGCTTTTCACGTCGGGAGGACGTCCCAAAGCGCTTCACAGAACACACTGTAAAGTGAATTGACTGTATATTTGTGGGCGAACGCGGCAGCCAATTGCGCACAGCAATGTCCCACAAACAGTCGTAGATTGAAACTGACCAATTTATTATTGTTTTTGGTTTTGGAGGGATTATTATTAAGCTCTGTGTGGAGTAAGGAAACTTGCCCAAGGTTTCGCCCTCTGCCTGGAATTGAACTCAGGTCTCTCACTTGCAAAGCGAGTGCTCTAACCTCTGAGCTACAGGACTCCACAGTTGAACTCACATAGTCTAAACTGACTCTCCAATGCAGTCCTGGGGGAGTATTGCATTGTCGGAGATGCCGTCTTTCGGATGAGATGTTAAACCAAGATCTCGTCTGTGCCTGTTCAGGTGGATGATAAGGTTCCCATGGCTCCGTTGGAAAAGAGAAGGGAGTTTCTCTTTCCTGATGTCCTGACCAGCAATCCCCCAAATAAAATTGGTCACTCACTCCATGGCCGTTTGTGGGCAGTTGTGCTGCCGCTTCTGTCTACAAATACATGGCCACTCCATATCACAATAATTCAAGTGAAGTGCTTTGAGACGTCCTTCCAACTAGATCAGGATCAATCTGCACCTACAGCATCAAAACCTCTCAAAACACTTCACAGGGAATTGCTGTGACATGTAGTGACTGTGTAATATGTAAGCAAACAATTTAGCCCCGCAGTATCCCATAAAAAGACATCAGTGGTGGGGAAAATTCTTGAGTCATTAATTAAGAATGTCGTTATGGGATTCCTGGAAGACCATAACAAGATTAGGCAGTCAACATGGCTTTACAAAAGGGAAGTCATGCTTAACTAATCTCTTAGAGTGTTTTGAAGATGTATCTGCAGGTTAGATAGGGGGGAACCAGTAGATGTAGTATATTTAGATTTTAAAAAGGCATTTGACAAAGTGCCACACAAAAGGCTATGTCACAAGGTTAAGGCCCACGGGATTAATGGGAACATATTAGCATGGATTGAAGAGTGGGTAACAGGTAGAAAACAGAGAGTAGGGATAAATGGGTCATTCTCGAATTGGCAGGAGATGTGACTAGTAGAGTGCCACAAGGAT